ACACACACACACACACACACACACACACACACACAAGAGCACGCAGACACACACACACACACACACACACACACACACAAGAGCACGCAGACACACACACACACACAGAGCACGCAGCGTTGCACCTCGCCCCCTTACTTGGCGTTGGCTCGGCCAGCTCGTCGAGGACAGGGTCGATGGATTCGTTCAATCGCTCCCACGGCGCCTGTACAGACGACATGATCGACTCATTGTGGTACGACGCAAGACGCGAGTCGCGCACGCTCGCCAGCTCAGACTGCACCTTGTCCACCTGTGTGATACGTACGTACGTACATGTGTGTGTGTGTGTGTGAACAGGAGGTGAGAAGTGATTGGCAGACAATATCCAGCAACCCCTGCCCCAAAGGAGACGGTTGCTAGATTGGCGCATAACCATCATAACACGCGCCAGCACCAGCACCATCACCTACCACAACAAGCATCCCTCCATCCACCGTGTTGACTCACCGTGACCTGCAGCTCAGCAATGGTCTGATCACGCACTACCACGAGCTGCTCGGCGTCCGCCAGCCGCTGCCGCAAATCCCGATTCGACCGCGACAACAACTGCGAGGGCAATTCGGGGAGGTGGGGGGGGATGACATGTGTCGATATGAGCATTTGGGGCGAAGAGACACGTGGAGTGTGTGAGCGTATGAAGAGGGAGGGGGTGGCAAGACTCCTCTCACACAGCTGATCCAGGCGTGCACATGGGTGAACAAGCCAGTATCGAGCCATGCATGTACGCCGCAAGGCAAGGTGGTGAACGCCAACAACAATAGCCGTTCTCACCTGCACTTCCCCGCCGAGGTCTTTTCTCAACTCCGCAACACGCGTGTCCGCCTCGCCTGTCCGGGGGGGGGGGGACGAAAGACAACGACAACAAACATCATGCGCATGAATGCACACACACACAAGTGTCAAAACATCAGGATGTACAACGATCAGTTCGACAACCGTGACCAACACCGCTACCACAAACACCACCATCAGCACTTTGCGTACGTGAGAGCGAGTCAACTTCCTGCTCGTGCGCTTCTTCGAGTTCGCGCAGCTCCTGGCGCGTCTTCGCCAGCGCAGCATCGCTCGTCTGAAACAAGGGCAGGGGAGGGGAGTGGATGGGTTAATGCGTGACGAAGTAGCAGCACAACAACATGTCACACGTGTCCGGTCATGAAAGGACGCGCATTTGGGAGATGATTGTTTTCCAGCATCACTGTCCAACACACACATAGAGAGAGAGAGAGAGAGACAAACACACACACTCACACGCCCACACACACACACACACATTCACACACACTCACACACACACATTCACACACACTCACACCCTCACCCTCGCAACCACCCCCCCCCTCACACACACACACACATACACATACACACATAAGCACACACCTTGAGCTTGGCCTGGAGTTCGTCCCTCTCCACGAGCGCCTGATTGAGCTGCGTCTCAATGCCGCTGAGCCGCTGCTTTGCGTCCAACAAGTCCTTGGCCAGCAAATCGCGGTACGACGGCGTTGGCGAGGATGCATTTTTCTCCAGCTGCGCCATGCGCTCACGCGTCTCCTCGTACAGAGTGGTCAGGCTGCGGTGCTCCACCATGTGCTGGTCGAGGCTCGCCTTCATGTCGCTGTTGGCGCGCTGCAGCTGCCGCCTGTCTGCCTCAAGCACGTCCACCTTGGCGCGAAGGTCCTCCACCACCCGCGCGTGGTCGTCCCGCATGCGCGTAATCTCATCGCGTATTCTCTCCTTCTCCTCCTTTGCGCCCTCCAACTCAAGCTCAAACGCCTTCATCCTGCCCACCTGTCGTGTCGCCTCTCGCAGCTCGCCACGCACGTCCTCCATCTCCGCCTTGTACTCCTCCTCCACGTGTTTCACCTTCGCTTCAAGGCGCTGCTTCTCGTCCATCGCGCTGTCCTTCTCAGCCGCAAGCCTGTCGATGCGTGCATGCAGCCCTTCAACCTCCTGCGCCAGCGTTGCCCGCGCCTCCGCTGCGCTGTCTCTTTCCTGTCGCAACTCCACCACAGTCTTCTTCGCCCGCGCCAGCTCCTCCACACGCGTGTCCAGCTGCTGGTGCAGCGCTGTGTTCTCCTCGTGCAACTTCTCTTCGCTCTGCAGCGTTGCCTCCAGCGCGTCCTGCAAGTGCTGCAGCTGCTTGTCCATCGCCAGTCGCAGCGTCACCAGCGCCTGCCGCTCAGAAGTCACTGCCTTGAGCTCGCGGCGCGCGCTGAGCAGCGCGTCCATGCGAATGGTGCACGAGTCCTGTTGCCGCTGCACGCCAGGGGGCGGTGCCGTCTTGGACATTGATGCCATCTTCCCCGCGTTCTCCTCTGCCTCCTCTGCTGTTGCAGCGCCCTCGTCACCACCCCCTTCACCGTCACCGTCGCGCGTGGCCGTGTTGCGGGCCAGCATGGTGTCTGCCCGCTGCAAGTGCTCCTTCACCCGCTCCGTCAGCACGCCCTGCTCATGATGCAATTCGTTGGCCAGCTGGTTGTAGTTGTTCTCCCACTGTGTTAGCTCCTCCTTGATGGAGCCTAGCTTGTCCTGGAGCTGCCTCTTGTCCTCGCGCAACTCATCGTTGTTCACACGCAACGTGTGCAGTTCCTTGCGCAACAGCTCCATCTCCTCAACGTACCAGTGCCGCTCGCCGTCTCTGCCCATCTGCTCCTGCTCCCCATCCTCTCGATGCTGGCGTGGTTGCGATTGGCGGTCAGAGTCGGCCAACAGCGACGGCTGGTACGACTGCTGCGTGTCCCCGCGAGCACGGGTTCGTGGCTGCGCGTGCAGGTGCGTGCCATCGACTCCTTGTTGGAAATCGGCGTGATGTCCCTCCTCCTGCGTCGCCACCGCCGCGTGTCTGTGCAACACACGCCCGCGCTCGTGCTCATGCTGGTGCTGCACATCATCGACATCGCCGTGTGCATGCGCGGGTGCGTCATCTCCGTATATGGCTGCGCGGAACGCGTCGTTGTCGCTGCTGCTGTAGCGTGACTCCTGCCTGTGCAGCACTGCTGGGTGACTCCGGCGCGACCGTCGTCGTCGACTCGCACTACCATCACTGCCATCACCATCATCACCAGCAGCAGCTGCTGCTGTTGTCTTTGCTTGCTGGCGAACAGACGGGTCTCCTTCGCTCTCATCGGACACCGACCACGCGTCCTCTGTTCCGTTGTCTGAGGTGGACAGCAATCGCGGGGCGCTGTTGTGCCGCGCCAACGCAGGTGACGACGACGCTGGCCCGCTCACACGACCATGCACGTGTTGTTGTTGTTGTTGTTGTTGTTGTTGTTGTTGTTGTTGTTGTTGTTGTTGTTGTTGTCGGGATGGGGTGAGTTGTTGCACGCGCATTTCCAGGCGTTTGCACTTTTCATGCTCTTTGTTGAGCTCTGCCACGAGGAAGCTGACGCGCTGCTGCAGACGCGCCACCGCCTGCTCTCCCTGACGCAACTCTACACGCGCATGACGCAATTCCTTCTCCTGGTCCTCTGCGCGTCTTGCGTCCCCACGCAAACGCTCCACCTCCGCCTTCAGCTCGCGTGTCGTCCGTTTCCCCTCCTTAAACGCCTCGTTGACCGAGCAGTGTGCGGCAAACAGGTCATCAAACTGCACCCGTGTGCGCTGTAGAGACATGCGCATGCTGTCAAGCGCCTCCTGTGTCTTGTGCACCTCCCTCGTTCGCACGTCCAGCACATGTTGCAGGTCGACGTTCGTCTGCGTCAGACGTGCAAACCGCGCCTCGTACGTGCGCAGCGTGTGCTGAAACTCGTCGAAGCTCTCGCTCAGCTGCGCAGACTCCTGTTGGTCGGGGAATCGGAGAGGAAAAGGGGAGGCGGGTGGTTAACGTGAACGGGTGAAACAGTGGGTCAAGAGGCAGGAAGGGGGGAAGGTAGGGGTAAGGTAGAGAAAGAGAAAGGGAAGAGGATCAAATGCAGTCACACACACACACACACACACACACACACAACACAAAGCACGGCGCGCATGCGGGTACCTGTGCTGGGTGGGCGGTGAGCAGCCCTGAGTAGCGGCGGGTGAGCATGTCCAGATCACGCTGCAGCACCTCGATGTTCGTCTCCCCCATGATGATGGTGTGGTATTGCCGGTCAAGCGTGCCTGCAAGCATGGGTTGGAGGATGGTGGTGAAGGTGTGTGGGGAGTGAAGATGATGTGTTGTCTTGCGCACCAAACGAGTGCACGAAGGGTGCATGAAGGGTGCATGAAGGGTGCGTCACGCCAGTCATACCATGACAACAACTGCAACATAGCTCACACTCGCAAACACGAATGGCTGCATGCACACACACGCACGTCAAACTGCGCGCACAAACACACACACACACAAACAAACAAACACATGCACACATACAAACAAACAAGCACACGCACGCACGCACGCACACATACGAAAGAGACACGAAACCTTTGAGTTCGTGGCAGGCCTGCACCAGCTGCTCCGCCTCCTCGGCCTTGTGCTTAAACTGCGCAGTGACGTGCTCGAGTGTTGACCGCAACTGCTCATTATCCTCTTGCAGCTCAACCGCCAGCGACTGAGCAGAAACACAGGGGAGTGTGAGAAGAGCAGGGAAGGACACGTGTATGAGTGGAAGGAGTGCGAACAGGTCAAAATACGCGTGGGCAATTCAGTGCCTCAGAGATGCAACCACAAGGCACAAACATGAGTACGTACACACACACACACATATGAAGGTACCTCGCACTCTCGCCGCGCGCCGTCTGTGCTGTGCAGTTGTGTTTCCAGCTCTTGCACCCGCTGTGGGTGCGCGACGAAAGCACAGTGGAAGCAGGCCAGACAGGCACGTGTCAGCACACGCGACGCAGTGTGTGTGTGTATGTGTGTGTGTGCGTGTGTGTGTGTGTGTATGTGTCTGCAGCGACAATGTCCGAATCCCCCTCCACACACACACACACACACACATAAAAAAGACTTGACGGTCCACACACCTGGTTTGCGTCGTCGAGTTGCTGCTGTAGCTCCGCAATCTGCGCAGCAGCGGCAGCGGCAGCAGCGCCACCCTCATCCTCCTTCCAGCCGTGCTGATCAGACTTGCGCGCCTGTATGCGGGCTCCTTCATCGTGTGCTCCACGCGCACCACCGCCACCCCCTCCATCATCACCACCACCGTCGTCGCCATCGCTGCGCCACACGCGTATGAGCTCCGAGGCGTCTGGCTGCGCGCCACCAAGCTCCGCCGCGCGTGACGCAACCTCCTCCGCCACTTGCGTAATGGCGTTGGCAGACTGGATGAGTGTCTTTGGGTTGGAGCCAAACTCGGTGATCTGCAGCAGCAGCCGCTCCACAGCCGTCGCTGTCGCTGGTGCTGCGTACCGCGCAGCCCTACGCATGGCAGCAACAAGGTCGGCGTCCATGTGCTGGGCGAGCGACACGGGGGGATCGCCTTTGCTGACGGAGAGCTCTGTGATGCGGCGGCGCAGCGCCGTCACTTCCTGCTGCTTCTGGTTGATGATGTCGTCCGCACGCTCGCGCATGGTGTTAAGCTCGTGCTCAAGCTGCTGCACCTGCTGGTGCGGGAGGGTGCCGTCTGGTTGCCGTGTCACGTCTCTGATGGCGTCTCGCTCAGCATCGGCAAAGCTCTCCTCGCCATCGTCAATCACCTCCGTGCGGCGTCGGCTCACCTCGAACCGCCGCTTAAAGCCAGCATCTGGTGACGCGTGTTTCTGTTGTTGTTGTTGGCGTCCTTGTTGTTCTCGTTGTTCGTGTTGTTGCTGTTGCTGTTCTTGTTGCTGGTGCAATTGCTGTTGGAGGATCTGCTGCAGCTGCCGGTGCTCTTGGGCATACTTCTTCGGCTCCAGCAGCTGCATCAAGAGCTGTTGTTGCTCCTCTGTGAGCTCGGGCCGCGCAGGCATGTGGTCCACGCCCTGCAGTTGTTTCAGGACCTGGAGTTCGTAGGCGGCAATCTGCACATCGTCGTTAGCACGGTCGCGATCACGCGACAGCTCAAGCACCTGCGTCTGCAAGCGCTCCACATGCAACGAGAGAGCGCGTTTCTCGTCCAGGAACCGCCGTATCATAGCTTGCACCCCCTGTCGTGTTGTGTTGTGTGTTGTGTGTTGTGTGTGGGGGGGGGCACAGCGGACACGTATGTGTGTGAGTGTGGGTTCTGGACGGTGTGCCTGTGGTCATGCACACACGCACGCACACGCACGCACAGGAATGAAATGCATAATGGATACGCGATAAAGCATGTCCATACCTCGGGCTGTTGCTTCTCCGAGTGCTGCTTCTCGTAAGAAGACATGGCTGTCGTTGTTGTTGTTGGAACCGCACCGTGACCAACAACGCTGTCCTGCGGCAGATGAAAGCTGACACGCGCGTTTCCACTTCCAAATCTGGTCCACCAAACAAGCGCGCGCAGGTCAAGATGTCAGCACGCGCTCAGGGTCAGCTAGGAGGCGAGCAAGTGTTGCGTGTGTGTGTGTGTGTGTGTGTGTGTGTGTGTGTGTGTGTGTGTGTGTGTGTGTGTGTGTTGTGTGCTGATGCTGGTGCTGTTGATACTGATGACGTTCAATGGCATGGTGAAATGCACAAGGAGCGGACCTGGCAATCGCTCGCGTACTTGTTACGATGGTTGGCCTGTTCTCGCACGGCCCAGATCCAACCACCCCCACCCACACTGTCAACGCAAGACCCTTCGATGCGACACGCGAGCAGTGAGCAGGACGCAGGACGTGGTTGGCAGCAGGCAAGCGAGTGTGCAGTTAGTTGGTTGGCGGTTGTGCGGCCGAAATTTGAAGGCAGGTGGGGAAAGGTGATGGAAAATTCAGCAAATCCTCCGCAACAGTTGTGTTGTGCTTGTTGTTGTGTACTTGTGTGTGTGTGCTTGTCGTCTGTGTGTGTGTGTGTGTGTGTGTGTGTGTGTGTTGCCCCCAGCGTCCCCTCAATCCTCTTACCAAGGCTAGAGTTTGCAACAACAGACCTTTTAACGCCACTCACGTGTCCACTCCTCTGATATGCAATGAAACACCCACCACGCACCAAACACACTCACACACAGAATGAAGGGAACAGGAAATCAACGGAAGCAAACACCTTTGCCTCCACTCAGAGTCAACGTCCACACAACATCCACAGCACGGCACATCCACTTCATCTCATATTTGGTTGTTGTGGTCACAGGTTTGCAAGAGCGCGAGCATCAGTTACAGCAGCATCTTGACGGGGTCCTCCATGTAACGCCGGAAGGCGGCCAGCCACTTGGAGCCGACTAAAGACGTGATTGTGATTGTTGTTGTTGTTGTTGTTGTTGTTGTTGTTGTTGTTGTTGTTGTTGTTGTTGTTGTTGTTGTTGTTGTTGTTGTTGTTGTTGTTGTTGTCGTGGTCGTGGTGGTCGTGGTGGTCGTGGTGATAAAGCGTTAATGTAAGCGATAGCAAGCAAAACAAACGGCACAGGTAACATGCAACACGCGGAATTGACACACACGCACGCACACACCAACCCCAACAAAACACACACACATCAGCAAACAACATGCGCACCTGCACCGTCGACGACGCGGTGGTCGCAGGAGAGGGTGACGGACATGTAGTTTGCGGCGGCAAAGCCAGACTCTGCCGTGGGGTCAACAACAACGCGCTGGGCCGTCTGGCCAACAGCGAGGATGCACGACTGGGGCGGGTTGATGATGGCGGTGAAACGGTCAATGCCAAACATGCCGAGGTTGCTGATGGTGAAGGTGCCGCCCTGGTACTCCTCGGGCTTGAGCGCGTTGTCGCGCGCCTTGGCAGCAAGGTTCTTCACGTCCGTCGAAATCTCCCGCAGGCCCTTCAGGTCTGCACAGGTTTGAAGGAAGGGAGGGGGGGTTGTGGTGGTGAGGAGGTGGAAGTGTGGATGAGAAAATGAAGGGAAGGAAGAAGGGCAGCGGCGGCGTGAACAGGGGAGGAAGAGAGCCAAAGCTCCAAAGAGAAAGGGAGACACAACCAAATGGTAGTGGAAAGAATGTTGGCTTTGCCAGCACGCGCCGCAGTGGGAGAAATAAACACATGCGGCAGTTTGAGCATGGGAGGAGGAAGCCGGGGGCACCGATGGCCCCGCTCGGTGTATGCGGTTGGTAGGCCTGCGCCGCCACGAGGAAACTTGTTGGCGGGCAGGGGGAGTTGAAAAGTACCGCAAAGGAAGGGAAGAGGACACGGGAGGGGACAGGAAGAGGGAAGCAAGAACGGAATGGACGCAAGGAGGGAAGCGAGCGCTGCAAGGAAACACACGTGCACCGACATACCCACAAGCACACACACACATACAATCATACACACGTGTTGATCCTGAGGCTGACCTGCGTCAAAGACGATTGGGGTGATGAGGCCGGAGTCTGTGCTGACGGCGACGCTGATGTCGACCGTCTCGTTCTGGCGGATGACCGTGTCCATCCACGACGAGTTCACCTCCTTCACCTGCAAAGTTGCGTAATGTTGCGCGCGTGCAAGTACGCATGTGTGTGCGTGTGTGCGTGTGTGTGTGTGCGTGCGTGTGTGTGTGTGTGTGTGTGTGTGTGTGTGAGTGAGTGAGTGAGTGAGTGTGTGTGTGTGTGTGTGTGCGTGTGTGTGAGTGAGTGAGTGTGTGTGTGTGTGTGTGCGTGTGTGTGTGCGTGTGTGTGTGCGTGTGTGTGTGCGTGTGAGTGAGTAGGTGTGTGTGGGGGGGGGGGGGCGTGGATCGGCTGTTACGATGCAGTGCAGTCATCGTGCATGTGCGTGACGATTCTTCATTGTTCACCGCACCTCCTTGAGGGCGAGGGAAGATGCCTTGATCACAAAGTCGTTGACGGAGAGCTTGTAGTCACCGTTGCCTGCGAATTGGAGAAAAAAAAGTGTGCACGTGTGAGTGCGTGAGTGCGTGCGTGCGTGTGCATGAGCGACAGAGCCATGGCGCGCCGTGCAGCACACGCCCGTGCGTGTCAGGCAACCAGCAAGGCTGACATACACGTCCCGCCACTCTTCCAACGCCACGCACGAGACGTGTACCAGGGTGCACACCTTGGTCGTTGAGCTGCTTGCGGAGGTTGAGGACCTCATCCACGCAGACGTCGACGTTGAGGTAGTAGTGTGGGATGTTCTGCTTGGGACTCCGTCAGGCGCGAGGCAATGACCTGGCAACGCGGCGGATGAGGGGTGTGGGGGTGGAGGCGTTGCACGTGAGGGGATGGGATGACAGGGCAAGACGAGGGAAATATTGGGACAACGGGCGGGAAGAGGGAGGAAAAGAACGAATGAAGAGAATGGAAGGTGGAAGAGAATGAAAGGTGGATGGATGAAGGGAGGGAGGCAGACGAAGGAACTGCGGGACAGAAAATGTTCAGAAAGGCAGGAAAACAACAAGAGTTGGTTGTTGTTGGCTTTGCCAGCACGCGCCGCAGTGGGAGAAATAAGCACATGCGGCAGTTTGAGCATGGGAGGAGGAAGCCGGGGGCACCGATGGCCCCGCTCGGTGTATGCGGTTGGTAGGCCTGCGCCGCCACGAGGAAACTTGTTGGCGGGCAGGGGGAGTTGAAAAGTACCGCAAAGGAAGGGAAGAGGACACGGGAGGGGACAGGAAGAGGGAAGCAAGAACGGAATGGACGCAAGGAAACAGACATGCACACCGCGACACACACATACACCAAACACACACAATAACACACACACACGTGTACCTTGCGGACGTTGCTGAGGGGAATGTCTGTGTACGCGGCACCTGTGGCGGCGGTGGCAGCGGTAGACTCGGCAGGCGCAGCGGCTGTGCAGATGAAGTCATGGGAAGCAAGACCGGCATGTGTTGTGAGTGCCAAAACGCACAAAGTACCACACACCACAACGCAGGGACTCGTTCCCACCCCACGAACGTTTCAAACCAAAAAACCACGTGCCCAAACACCTTCCCGGGCCCCGCACACACACACACACACACACACACACACACACACACACACACACACACACACACACACACACACACACACACATACAAACAGACCCCCCCCCACACACACATACACACACCAACCCTGGTAAGCGTCGACGTCGGCCTTGGTGATGCGGCCGCGTGGGCCCGTGCCAACAACGTTCTCAAGCGCAATGGAGGCGCGCTCAGCGAGCTTGCGCGCGAGCGGGCTTGCAAACACACGCTCGCCAGACGACTTCTGAAAAAAAGTGGCGGTTGAAGCAGTTGCAATCGCGGTAAGGCGACGTTGTGCGTTCGCAGGTGTCGTGGCATTGTCCGGAATTGGACATCAGTCGCGCCCGCACAGAAACGCGCGTACACACACGAAATAAACCCACATTCATACGCACACGCGCGCGCACACACACACACACACACACCGAAGATGGGGCGGGAGCGGAGGTCTCGGGGGCCGGGGTAGAGGAGGGCTTGGAGGGGGCAGGCGTGGGCTCGGGCGCCTTGGCTGGTTCTTCCTTCTTCTCCTCAGCAGCGCCAGCAGCAGCGCCACCCTGTGTTGATGGATGTGTAGTTCAGTGATTGCAACCCGTGAGAACGTGTGTGTGTGTGTGTGTGTGTGTGTGTGTGTGTGTGTGTGTGTGTGTGTGTGTGTGTGTGTGTGTGTGTGTGTGTGTGTGTGTGTGTGTGTGTGTGTGTGTGTGTGTGTGTGTGCACGCTGTTCGTGTCGTGCGTGCTTGCAAGTACCAACAACAACAACAACGCCAAATCAACAACCAGCACTACACGCCACACACCTCGAATGCAGGGGGTTCAAAGTTCTCAAAGGCGGGGACGTCCTCCTTGTTGTCAACCAGGACCAGCACCGGCTGGCCAATCTCAATGCCCTCGGTACCGTCCTCAACAAAGAGCTTGGCAACAAAGCCGTCCTCTGTTGAATCAAACGACATGGTTGCCTTGTCCGTCTCGACCTCGCCAAGGGAATCACCAGTGGCAACCTCGTCGCTGCACACAACCACAAACACCACAAACAAAGGGTGAGTGAATGCTCCAGATGCGTGCATGCAATTCCAGAGAACGGATTTCGCCGCTGTGACTTGCCGGGACGCAAGAACCCAAGCGGCACATACACACCACACCGGTCACACACAAACGAACACCACATGCACACACCGGTCATACACACACACACATACACACACATACACACACACCAAGCACACCAAGTACAACAGTGTCTCCACGTTTGGGGACTCACCCAACAGAGACGTTCCACTGCTGCAGGGTACCGGTCTTCATGGTGGGGGAAAGCGCGGGGAAGTTGACGATCATGTGATCAGGGAGATCTGTGCGCAGTACAGCGGCATGCATGCGTGTGCAGGAGTCGGTGAGAGGATGCTCATAATGCCCACACACTCACACACTCACGCAACACCATGTCCATGCACACACACACACTCTCTCTCTCTCTCCCTCACGCACACACACACACACGCAACTCAAAACCAATCCATTAAGCGCCCACCTGACGAGTAGAAGCGAGCGGCTGCGGCACGCAGTGCCATTGTCGGTGCAGGTGCGAGCCTTTCCAAGTGCAGACCAAGCGACACGAAGCGAGTGATGTAAGTCAGAATTGGCAGCGTGTTGACGACATTCGTGGAAGGAAGACGAGCAGAGCAATCAACGCACGCGCGCAAACACAAGTGGCACATGCACAGCATGAACGGCATGAATATGTGCGACGCACCATGCTGCGCGAGCAGCGCTGGCAGCCAGTGTGCTCCTGGCCACACGTCTGTGATACGCATGGGCATGAACACATGAGTTTGCGATGACAAGTGGTTGTAACAATGGCACGTGGCCACGCACAGTGAGGTGACCATAGCGTACAGTGACCGTAGCGCACAGAGCCTTCATGTCACCACGCACACGCACACGCACGCACGCACGAATGCACACACAACACATCCATCACCAAGCAGCTCGCTGCCTGCCTTCCATCATCATCAGCTCACCCCACGAGTTGCCACATCGCACTGGCTGTGTGAAGTTGGTGGTGCAATTGGCGGAAAATGCGTGCACACGAAAAACACACCCACACAAATCCACCCTGAACTCAGGGTTGTATACATCTCATGGTGTTCCTACCTGTGTTGTGAGGCGTGTTTTCCCCCCTTGGCTTGCTTTGCCGCGCCTTTCGTATCCAACCATTCGCTCGTCTCGGCTTTTGCTTGGTTTGACCGCAACAACAACAACATCACATCATCCCAGCTTTGTTGTGGTTGGCTGTTGTGGTTGGCTGTGTTGTTTGTTGTCTTCACGCACGCGTTCTTCGTGTGTGTGTGTGTGTGTGTGAAGGTGACTCTTTGTGCGTCGCACACGCTCTCTCCCTCTCTCTCCAGCACAAGTAGACGCAAAGCAGACGCGCAGGCATGGACCGCCATCGCAGCCGCTCCGTGTCGTTCTTCCGCAATGGCTTCCTGAACACCAGGCGCAGCTCCCTGCGCAACAAGCACTCGTCCTCGTCGTCCATCACAGAAGTGAACGAGAGCAGCTACGACACCCACGACGGCGACACCTTTGACGGCGACAGCTCCAGGGCAACGCCAACGACGCCCTCAACCCCAAACGGCACGGCTGGGTCCGCCTCCTTGCCTGCTTCCGCTGTCAAGCAGCGCCCATCCTCCGCCAGCAACCTGTCGCGTCGCCGGTCTTCCTCCCTCTCCCGCGCACGCCTGCGCTCCGACAACAGCGATGACGGTGGTGGCCGCCGCGCCATGTCCAAGAACACGTCTGGCTCCAGCCTGCTCAACGAGGCCAGCACCACGCCGCTGCGCCGCTCCTCTTCCTTCCGCCAGCGCCGCACGTCCGTGGACCGCACGCCCACGTGGTCGGACCGCGTCGAGCGCCTCCACAACCCGCCCAAGCAGGAAAAACACCAGGGCGAGCAGGTGCGCCGCGCAGTTGCTTTGGTGTGTGTGTGTGTGTGCACTTGTTTGTGTGGGTGAACAAGGCTGCACGCGCTTGCTGCACGCACGTGTTGTGTGCGACGTGTTCCTGTCGTGTCATTGTTTTCCTCATGGACTGTGCACTGCCATTTGCTCGAATCAGGTGACGATTGGAGACCGCGTCGTGGTGAATGGCACGTGGCCGGGCGTGCTTCGCTTCCTCGGCTCCGTCCAGTTTTCGCACGGCATCTGGGCAGGCATTGAACTCGACGAGCCAGGTGAGCCGCGTCGTGTTTGGATGTGCAAATGCAGGCAGGAGCACTTTCATGCGATGTACTTGAACGTTCGGTCACGCTCTCGCTCGTGTTGTTGCAACAACACAAGTGCGCACACACTCTCACCAATTCAATCAACTGCTGCCTCTCGCCCACACTCACTCCATCACACGTGCGTTCTCTTACTCGCCCTTTGCCCTGCAGTTGGGCAACACGATGGCAAGATGCAGGGCCGCCGGTACTTTGACTGCCCCCGCAACTGCGGTGTGTTTGTGAAGAAACATCAGATCACACGCGAGCTGCACGTAGAAGGGCAGGCCATCCCCGCATATGTGGAGAGCCTGCAGGAGCGACACAAGGAGACGGAGGACAAACTCAAGGCTACGGTGCGGTGCACATGTGTACTTTGTGTGTTTGTGTGTGTGTGTGTGTGTGTGTGTACTTTTTGTGTGTGTGTGTGTGTGTGTTTGCGTGTGTGTGTGTGTGTGTGTATGTTTGTGCATTCCAAGGCGCAGCTGTATCAGCTTGTGCATTGCCCCCTACAACAACGCTTACACACTTCCGTGCACCCGTGCTCCAACAGGAGAATGAGTTGGAGCAGACGAAGCTGATTCTGGCGAGCGTCAAGGACAGTTTTGTGCAGGAACTTGCCGCTGCACAGCGCACTGCCGAGGAAGCAAAGGTGGCAACACCGTGCTCGTGTGTGTGTGTGTGTGTGTGTGTGTGTGTGTGTGTGTGTGTGTGTGTGTGTGTGTGTGTGTGTGTGTGTGTGTGTGTGTGTGTGTGTGCTTTCTGCACTCCCATTCGGCTACATTATCGAGCTCTTCATCACATGTGCGCATTCTCCTCACCAATGCATACCCACCCGTGTTCACATGTTTATGTGTGTGTGTGTTTTCAGGCGAAGATGCAGGAGATGGAGCAGCAAGTTACCGAAATGACGCGCGAATACAACGCGAAGGACGTCGAGGTGTCAAACTGCAAAAGGTACCACCGCCTTGCAGCCGTGTACGTGCATGTATACATGTGTGTATTTCTGTGTTGTTATCATTGTGCACTTGCTATCTTGCTTGGATGTCTCCTTGTTCTCGTTTCAACCCAATCCTGTGCGCGCCCCCCCCCCCCCTCTTCACGTTGTTCAACGCACACCACAATTCACATCAACACCTCATCTGCTCCTCTTTCCTCCCCCTCCTCGTGTGCTTGGCAGCGAGATCTCGCGACTGCAAGCGGAGGCGGCGTCGGTTGTCGAGACGAACCAGCAGCAGACCCGCGACATCACCCGCTTGCAGGACGAGCTGCAGGCTGCGCGCACAGAGATGACCAAGCTCAAGGCATCACTGCAGGTGTGTGTAGATGTGTGTTGGGGATTTGCGATTTCATGAGGGTGTGGTGTCCTGTTCGGGCTGCACACATCCACACACACACACACGTTCACGCACACTCACTCACTCACTCACTCACTCACTCACTCACTTAATTACTCACTCACTCACTCACTCACTCACGCACTCACTCACGCACTCACTCACTCACTCACTCACTCACTCACTCACTCACTCACTCACTCACTCACTCACTCACACACACGCACTCACTCCTTCACTCACACACACGCACTCACTCCTTCACTCACTCACTCTCACCACCAGCGCAATGTGGATGAGGGCAAGAGCAGCGAGATGGCGTCACAACAGCGCATCAAGGATTTGGAGCGAAACGTTTCAGAATGGAAGGAGCGCAGCGAAAACACGCGCCTGGAGCTCCAATCCACCAAGCTGTCCTTGGAGCACACGGAGTACCGCGTGCAGCAGCTGGAGACGGAGAACAAGCAAGTCGTCGCACAGCTCACAGACGCACAGCAACAGCTTGACGATGCACGCAAGCACAACGAAGCAAACTCCCAGCAGCAGCAGCAACAGCGGCAGCACCAGTCGACGGCCGAGCAGCTGAAGCGGGAGGCCGCAGAGGCAAAGGCAGCGGTGTCGCGCCTCGAGTCACGACTCGCAACCACGCTCACCATGAAGGACCAGCTCGAGGTGCGCGCGCATGTGTGTGTGTGTGTGTGTGTGTGCTTGGGAACACCTGCGAATCCATCTTCGCATGCGCTCGTACCATACCAAGCACACCATCTCACCGATATGTCTGTCGCCGCCACCACCGCCACCACCGCCACGATCATGATGACAGGAGGAGCTGATGAAGTCATCCTTGCAAGTGAGCTCGTTGAAGAAACAGCTGCTCAGCAAAGATACCGACCTCGAGGAAACACACGCAAAGTGCAGTGCTCTCGAGGTACCACTCGCTTTGTTTGTTTGTTTGTTTTGTTGACTTCTTGACTTGCTCGTGCTGTGATTTGTCTTCGCTCTCGTATCTGAGCTCACCTGTTCCTTCGCACTCCCTCCTTCTTGTTCTTCGTAGCGCAAAGTGTCCCGGCTGGAATCTGAGGCCGCAGCAAACACGGTACAGCCATGACACCTCTTACAGCTGTGGTGAAATGCACAACAACCGCTACCACACACACACACACACACACACACACACACACACACACACACACACACACACACACACACACACACACACACGAAAGTACACACCCACGTCTGCTCTCAACCACTCCTCAACCACTCCCCCCCCCTTTACCACGGCAGGGCACGGACGTTGCCTCATTTGAAAAGTTGACGTCGCTGACATCGGAACGCGACCGTCTGCGCCGGCAGCTTGTCGAGATGGAGACGGACAACGCGGACCTCAAGGGCCAGATGGCACGTGTCTCAAAACTCCTCCAGGTCAGCCTCGTGTCGAGCAATGTGTCATCATCAACAAACGCACCCCCCCCCCCACACACACACACATCAAAACATCAACACACGAACCTGCTGCTTGTCATCTCACTCACTCACTCACGCACACACACGCACACACTGTTTTGTTTTCTTCTCCCCACACACCGCTCCATCCATCCTTGCCACAGGACGCCGGTGTGCAGAGTCCGTTTGAGGTTGGCGCGACCATCGCCGCCCTGCGTGAGAGGAGCAGCGAGCTGGAGAAGCAGCTGGAGAAATTGTCCGCCACGGCCTCGTCGTCGTCGTCACTGGCCGCTGCTGAGGATGTGCACACGGGCGAATTCACAGTCAAGGTGGGGCAACATCGCAGTGTAATTGTGTGTGTCTGTCTGTCTGTTTGCCTGTCTGTCTGTCTGTTTGCCTGCCTGTCTGTCTGTCTGTCTACTTGTGTGGGTGGTTGCTTGGTTATTGTGAATCACGGTCGTTTAAATGTTGTCCATTCGCAGTTGTCCTTTCAAACACACGCACACTCACATGTGCACACTGTGTCCGCCAACACCATCAGATCCAGGCGCTGGAGCAACACGTGCAGCTGCTGAAGAAACAGAATGAGGAGCTGCGACAGGCGCGCCACGATGCAACATCCAGCAACACGCGTGCACTCCAGGCTGCAAAGGCCGCAGCGAGCGACGCGCAAGAAAAGCTTCACGCCCTGCAGATGCAATACGACAGCGCCCAGCGTGAGCTTCGGGCTGCCATGGCAGAACGCGATGCAACAGTTGCGGATATGAAGCGAACGCTCGAGAAGGAGCGCGCTGAACACAAACGCGCACTCGACGGCCATAAGGACAGTGGCGACGCAGCCAAGGTGTGGCTTACGTGCATATGTATGTGTGTATGTGTGAACATGTACTTGTGAATGTGTTTGTGTGTGTGTATGCCTCTGTGTGTGTGTGTGTGTTTGTGTGTGTGTATGCCTGTGTGTGTGTGTGTGTGCCTGTGTGTGTGTGTGTGTGTGTGTGTGTGTGTGTGTGTGTGTGTGTGCGTGTGTGTGCGTGTGTGTGTGTGTGTACAGCGTTGTTGTGCCTCGGCTTCCACAAGTGCTTGACCAGTGTTTTCCCATCCACCCATACACCCCCTCCCCCAAACTGACATTTCGCTCTCCCAACCCGACCCATCACATCCCACCCCGTACTGCCCCTCCCTGCAACAGCTGCGCGTGCTTGAGGCGGAGGTGTCGTCGCTGCGCACCCAGCACGAAATGGCCAAGGCGAACCTCGACCGCGCCCACCGCGATCTTAAGACCGCACAGGAGGAGCACGCGCGTGCACTCGATGAGGAGCGCAAGAGAACGGCTGCAGTGCAATCACAACTGGACGCCCTGCTTGCATCACGGGACGCCGATGGCAAACACAACAGCAGCAGCAGCAGCAGTGGCGACGGAGAAATGCGTGACGCGGAGGCGACGGCAACAGCTGATGCCCTTCGCCTGGAGGTGCAGCATCTGCGCACAACTGCAGAGGAAACAGAGGCAAGACTGCAGGCGGACCTCACACGTGCACGTGCGGACGTTCAACAAGAGCGGGATGAGGTGTCACGCTTGACAGCTGAGGTGCAAACGCTGCAGACGAAACTGCAGCAGGCAGACGACGCGCGCACAGCCGCCGAGCAGCGCGAACGGGAGCACAACGCCAAGCTGGCCACCACCGCCACTGCCACTACAACAGCACCGACAGCAGCGCCGGCGACAAGTGCCGCTGATGAGGCGGAACTGAAGCGCCTGCGTACAGAGCTGGACAGCGCAACACGTGCTGTTGAGAGCAGCAAGGCAGAGACAGCGCGGCTGCGGCTGCAAGTCGAGGCACTCACGCGCGACAAGGCGGCATGGGCCAGCAAGGAGGCGAGCCTGCAGGCAAAGGTGGGGCAGCTCGAGCAGAGCTCGTCACGCCTGCAACGCGACTTGCAAGCACGTGACGCCAGCGTGCGGGAGCTGGAGCAGCGTGTCAAGTCACTCACAGCACAGCTGCAACAGTCGCGCACAGCAGCAGCAGCAACAGCAACGGCAGCACGGCGAAGCAGCCTCTCTGCCACGACGTCATCTGACGTGGGCGCCCGCAGCGCTGCAGTGGCGGAGATGGAAACGGCGCTGGCGGCCATGAAGCGCGAGAAACTCTCGCTTGAGGAGAAGGTCGCCAAGCTGGAGAGCCAGGTATCATGTGTGTGTGTGTCTGTGTGTGTGTGTGTTCTGTTTGCTTGCATCTTTGGCTGCGATTGAGCTTCATTGACTCCGCTTCTCACACCGACCCACACGCACACATGCACACACCCTCAAATGGTTACGCGAGCAGGTGAAGGAACAATCTGAGGACCTTGAGGATCTTGAGGAGATGCTGGCTGGGGAGCGGCAGGCGGCGGCGCGCCTGAAGCAGCAGCTCGCCGGCCAAACATCCGCGTGACGAGCAAACTTGGGATGAAGTCACACAAGGCACTGTGTTGTGTTGTGTGTGTGTGTGTGTGCTTGCGAGGTTGTGACTGCTGTGAGCATTCATCAATATTCGTTGGCTGTTGGAGTGCACGTGTCTTTTGTGTCCATCGTCCATTGCGTCTTGCGTATTGCGTTTGCACTCGACATTGTGATGTTGTGCTTTTGGGTGCTGTGTGTGCTTCTTGACCTGACCCTTCTGCTGCCTGTGTATGTGTGGGATATGGCTGGTTTGATTGATGCATTTTATGCCTGTATTGCCTGCTTGTGTATGTTAACATCTTCCCCTTCTCTGTGCCCCATAGATTAAATGACTCGCGTGGAAGCCATGTGCATGTACATAACAACAACAGCGTACGCTGTGCCAACTCCCGCTCTCGGTCCTGCTGGCTTGCTTGCTTCGGCGCTCGCTGTGGTTGTGTTGCCTGCAAGCAACGCACGTTGTTATTATGCCTTGCGCCAGCGCCCCGCTCCTGCTACGCGACACGCCCCGTCCAACTCAGCCACCACGGCTTTCAGGGCATTGCGCAGAGAGGGAATGTCCACGTCAAACGAGTTGCACACCACCCAGTCCCGCCCGGCCACCTTCACCTCCCGTCGACACGTGCTCGTGTCGCACTGCACATTGCGAGAGAGGGAGAGAGAGAGAGAGGGAGAGAGAGAGAGAGAGAGAGAGAGAGAGAGAGAGAAGGGTTTGTGGGTGTCAAGTTGTAAGAACGCGAGCGCGGAACTGATTGTGGACAGAATACATTGGCAGTAGCTGGTGTGTTTATGGGTTTTCAGCCTATACACGAGAGGCAAACAACAATAAAAGTTACTCACACACATGCACACACACACACACACATGCACACACATACATACACGTGCACACACATACACGCGCGTACAGCCGATCCAAAGCCCTGACCTCTTGTTTCAAACGCTGGCGCTCCTTTTCTGCGCATTCGAGTGTGGCGCCACATTCCATCGCCGCCATGGATGCCTTCCGTAACTGATTGTGCTGCGCGGTGTTTGCACGCTGGCGAATGCACCCAGATCTGCCAGCAATCGTGAGCGTGGGATGCGAAACGAAAGTAGGGTTTGTTCAAGGCGTGTGATTGCAGGCCAAGTTAATGCTGCGCAACATCAATCATCGCATGCTATTCACACCCCTATGTCACACACGCACACACACCACATACATCACACACACGCACGAAAGAAACTATTGCTCACAGGTTTGAGGCGCCAAAGGCGAAGCGGTAGTGGATGTTGAAGTTGGCGGCAGCTTGGGCAAAGTGCGAATTGAAGATAACGGGCACAGCCTCCACAACAGCAGAGTTGGGGTGCATCCACGCCATGCCAAACACCTGCGAGCTGTGGCTGCTGATCACAAGCCCTGCGTCGCGGAACACAGCTGCCTGGTCGTACAGTGACGTGCTCTCGTTGGTGGTGGCGACAGTCGCAGCGATGCCCGTGATGGCCTTCGCCGTGGCTTGCACCGCGTCCATGTTGCTGAACCGTCGCAACTTGTGCCCGGTGCTGCGCTGGAGAATGACAACGCGCCGTGGTGGACACGCCCCGTCGGCCCATTTGTCTGTGTTTGCGAACATGAAGTCCACTGCGCGGCGGTGAAACATGCCTGCATGCACCTGCATGGCAGCAATGTAGGCGGGGGAAGCAGGAAAGGAGATTGGGTTACGCGTTCATTATGATGCACGCTTATCTGTGAGCAATCTGCAACGTCCTTGCTAAGCATGTTGCACACACAAAATGGAAAGAAAACGCCAGGGAACATGCATACACACGCACATGTACAGTGTACACACAAACACGCACACACATGCATACACACGCACACACACACACACACGCACGCACGCACGCACGCACGCACACGCACACGCACACACACACACACACGCACGCACACGCACGCACACACCTTGTTGTGTCCAAACAGGTCGTATTCGGGGTGATACGCCACAAGGCTGTGGAAGAACCGCGGACGATTGTCATCGATGTCAACGTTGTTGATGCGGTCATGACGAGACCCCTCATCGCCAGGGAACAGCGCAGTTTGTCGAAAGTCTGAACGCGCGCATTGTGCATGTGTGTGTGTGTGAAAAGTCGAACTGGAAGCAAGCAAGTAACCCTCATTTCGAGTTCAAGTTCAACCCACCCAACATCGTTTTGTCTCACCTAGTCCTGTTTGAAAGCGAGCATTGTGTGTGTCTTTGAACCACATGGCGTAGTACTTCTCTTGCCAGGCATTCAGGGAAGCGGCCTTGAAGAACGACACGTGCCCGAACGGTGGTAGTGTGGCTGGATTGGGATTGAAGCAGGTACAGGATATGAGAACACGTGTGAGAAGCGAGAAGAGGGTAAAGCAGACACGAGACAACGCGGCGACAGTGCATGACACACACACACACATACATGTGCATACTCACACACATACAAACACACACGCACATACAAACACACACGCACATACAAACACACACACATACAAACACACACACACATACACATGCACACTCACACACGCACACACAAAACACACAAACAAACAAACACACACAAGCGCGCGCCATCCACCCCCCCCCCCCCTCCCTAATGTATACCTTTGTGTTGGTGGAGAAGCGTTGGTAGGGCGGAGAGTTGGATGGATTCGTGAAAGATGTGTGGTGGCTGCGACCAACGCTCCACGCCAAGGGTGGGCGCAAGCACCCCAAAGTCCTTTCCGTCGCACTTCGGAGACCACAGCTCCGCTGGAGTCGTAAACACGGGGACACGAAAGGCGTGAAAGCAGGAACAGAAGAGCTGTACCTTGGAGGATGGCACCAGCCGCTGCGCTGTCCACGCTGATGGATCGTAAGGCTGTTGCATCTTCGCAGACCGCACAGTAAAGCATGCCACGGCCAACTGCCTTGCGTCATCCAGCATTTCCTCGGGAACAACCAAGACGGTGCGGTATTGGTCCACCACTGCGTTCGTGAACACACACGCGCCATCACCCGACACCCACATCCCAGACGCAAACTGCGGTGCTGCTGTCGGAACCAGCTCTTCCTGCTCCAGCTGCTGCTCGCGGCGCTGTGTGCGGCCGGCTTCCTCCTCTGGTTCCTTCTCCTTCGCTTCCAGCAGCTGCTGTTTTGGAATGTCAGCTTGAGCACCGGTGCTTTTGGTCTGCGCAATGGGTGGCAGGACTTGCGTGAACCTGTCCCCAGTGCTTTCGGTGCTTGTTCCAGCCCGGTCGAGGAGGTGGCTGCCAAGTGTGGTGATTTGCTCGGCAAAGCGGGTGCCGGCATGCACGCACTGCTGGAGATGACGCAAGTACTTGGCCTTGCTCTTCCCTTTGTCCTTGCATGCCTTGACTGATGTCCGTCCCAGCACGTCGTCAAACATGGGACGCTCAAACTGAACTCTCTGGTGCGTTGTGCCCAAAGAACCCGTGTTTCCGAGGACTCCAACAACGGCTCCAGGCCACGAAGCAGGCGTCATGTTTGTCAGCACCACCGTCACCAACAAAAGCTGAACCATCATCACACCACAGCGCTGCTGTCTCCTCCTGGCCATCTCCGCCATGGCGCCTTCCTCCCGCAAGCAAAGGCGCCGCCCATCCAAAGTGCCGAGCACCTGCGAGGACAGAAGCGCGGACAGAAGACACGACAGAAGGAGGACAGAAGTCGAGCAAGGGATGAAGCAACAAAACAAACAGATGTAAACGGCCAAAGGTTCATTGTCTGCCTTGACAGTGCGAATGTTTGGTGAAAACATTCACAGATATTCCACAATCGCTGCGGAGCTGCGACGATGCTGGTGGAGACAGAGACGATCCGCTTGGCGGATGTGGGCGTGCATGTCATGGTGGTAGTGGCGTCACAGGTCATCTACTTGTGGGCCAACACACAGCCTTTGCTGGGCGCCCTGACCATGGCCATGCCATCGCGGCTGGTGCGTTTGTGAAGTTGGGGGCGGGGCGGGGCGGGGGGACGTGAAGTGTGGTTGTTTTTCTTTGGTGTTGCCATGTGTTTGCATGTGTGTGTGTGTTTGCGCGTGTGCGTTTGCATTCACTGACTTGTGCACACATACATACAACCAAACACACGCACACGCACACGCACACATACACACAAGCACACATACGCACACGCACACATACACACAAGCACACATACACACAAGCACACACACGCACACGCACACATACGCACAAGCACACGCACGCACACGCACACACACGCATACAACTCGCTGACATGTTGGCTTCGCTTCGTCAATTGCACAGGACGCCACGCCGCTGGGGATGGTGCTGAAGCGTGGCCTGGACGATGACCTGGCAGAGTCCTTTGCGAAACGCCTTGGTGAGATGCCTCGCATCTTGCTTCCAACAGCACGCAGCATGCATAATCATGGCACATGTTGGGTTTCCAACACCCTGCTCAAGCGATGCATGCCTGCTCATGTGATGCATGCGCTTGCTCACATGGTGTACATCCCTCTCTTTCCTTGCCTCTGTTTTGTTTTATGTTTGCGGCGCCACAGCGAGGAAGTTTGGCGTTCAGGTATTCGTGAGCTGTGAGTTGCCACGGGAGCTTGCGGATCTGCGTGAGGGAGTGGAGAAGCGGCTCACAGATACGGTCAAGGGCATCGTGGAACGACCCGACGTACAAGCCGCCCTGTTCCCTGCAGCCGAACCCGAAGCCGCCCAGGCCAGCTGACCGACATGTGTGTGTGTGTGTGTGTGTGTGTGTGTGTGTGTGTGTGTGTGTGTGCGCGTCTGGACTGCAATCCACTTGAACGCTCTTGTCCTCTGTTTTGGTTGAGCCATGTGCAGGCATTTCTTTTTTGTCTCTTTTTAATCGAAAGACAGTGAACAAATGAAGACATTCCACACCACCTCGAGTCGACAGTGAAGCAGTAGCAAGCACATCACATCACATCACGTCATACACGCACACTTCACACAACACATCACACACATCAGAGCAAAGAGGGTCCGTCTACTTGGCGCGCTTGCGGTCGTTCTCATCGTCGCTATCCCTGCACACAGCACAAAGCATGAGAGAGGCAAGAAGGATGGCGATGGTCGGTGGAGTGAGTGCGAGGAGAAGGGAGAGAGATGGAGGGGGGAGGGGGATACAACGCACACGTGCACAGCACACACACACACACACACACACACAAACACGCACATCTCCGCATGCCTCTCGAGCCTGTCGACTTACGGGCGGCGGGTGTGGCGTCGGTATCGTGGGGAGCGCGAGCGCGAACGACGACGATCACGATCACGATCACGATCGCGGTCACGGTCGCGGCGGGCTAGTGGGGACCGGGACCTGCGGCTGCTGCGACTCGTCCGCGATGCGCGCGGCGACCGGCGGCGGCGGCGTGGCGAACGCGAACGCGAACGCGAGCGGGGACGAGAGCGAGCACGAGAGTGGGAACGGGAACGGGAGCGGGAACGAGATGGGCGTCTGTATTGGGGGCGGCGGCGGCGGTCAGCAGGGGAGCGCGGTGGGGTGCGGCGCACCCGTCGCTCCTCGCGTGCTGCATCATCCCCACGACTGGCACGTGTGTCGTGATCGCGATCACGCTCATCACGCTCATCACGGCTGGCACGTGTGTCATGGTGGCGTGGAGGGCTGGCGTCGCGTGGGGCGGGGGCCTTGGCGTCGCGTGGCGGGGACGAGCGAGGCGGGTTGGAGGCGCGGGAGCCAGCGGAGATGCGGCGGTCACGCGGTGGCGGGGAGCGGGGAGGACTGCTGCGACGCACGCTCCTCTCACGACCACGGTCGCGACGACGGTCACGGTCATCATCGCTGTCGCTGCCACTCGATGATGAGGACGAGGAGGAGGAGGACGACCCGGAGTCGGAATCAGAATCAGAACCAGACGATGATGACGACGATGAGGATGAAGAAGAGCCACTGCTGCTGCTGCTGCCACTGCTGCTCTCATCCGATGACACATCCTCCGTCTTGGCCTGCATCAGCCGCTTTGGGGCGTTCTTCAGCGCCTCGCGCATGTCATCCGTCAGCGCTCCGAGACCAATTGTCGTGAAAAAGTTGATCGAGAACCGCGTGTCCTTCGGGCTGTCCAGCGGGAACAGGCCCGCGAGCGAGCGCTGCAGCGTGGGGTCGCGCAGGCGGGCAATGAGCGTCTCCAGGCCCATTGCCGATGACACCTCGAGGAAGAGCTCCTTGATGAAGATGCGACTGGACGAGGTTGTCTCGCGTTCGTTGAGGTGGATCACCTCCAGCGCCGTCCAGGGAATGGCGTCCATGTACAGCAGGTGCGCAAACAGCTTGGCAATCTGCCGCAGCGGCTTCGTCTCCAGTCGGTGGATCGTCACATACTGAGGAACATTGGGAAGGCAGGGGCATAACGTGAGTCATTGCATTGGGTGCAACGACGCTTCAAGTCGTTCGCACAGAGCACAGAACTCACACACACACACACACGCATGCACGCACACGGCGCATACACACACACGCACACACGCGCACGCACACACGCGCACGCACGCACACACACACACACATACACACACACCTGGTCGGCGAAAGCGGCGACGTATGCATCCTGGTATTCGCGGCGAAGCAAGCAGAGGCGCTCAGCGAGGAGGCCGTACATCTTCAGGTATGACCGCTCCTGGCTGCAGCACTCAATCACCATGTTGCACAGCTCAGACTGCACGCAAGCACATGCACAAGGGGAGCGGAAGGGAGATAAGATGGGCATTGCAGTGTGTGAGGCAACAAATGGGTACAACATGCAAGGAAAGGGCCATGTACGAGCACATCGGCAAGTACAGCATGGCAAGAGTAGTAACACCAACAACAGCCAGTGACAAAAAGATGATATTTACACATGCACGAACAAGGGCAGGCGAGGCAGTCACGCTTCACCTCGTGGCCCGGGGGCAGGTTGAGCTTCATGAGCTTGTGTGCAGCCTCCTCGTAGTTGATGGACGACATGATGGTCAGGTACACCGTGCGGCGGAAGGCAACGAGATCCGTGCCCGTCATGTCCATAATCGCCTGTCCGCCCTCACCACCGGCTGCCGTCTGCGCTGCTTCTTCCTCCTCATCCTCGTCCTCGTCGCTTGATGACTCATCACCACTGCTGCTCTCCCCAGAGCTCTCATCCCCAAGAATCTCCCGCTGTGGAGGTGTGGGCGGAGGCGGAGGCGGAGGGGACGTGTGAGTGTGTGAAATACGGATTGAGTTGAGTTGAAACGAAGGAACGCAGCAGTGGCAGCAGCACGTCAACTCACACACAATACACACACACACACACAACTCACACACAATACACACACAAGCACACACACTCACACACAACACACACACGAGCACACAAGCACGCAAGCACACGAACACACACACACACACGAACACACACACACACACAAGCACACACACAACACACAAGCATCAGCGATGTACCTTGATTGCGGCGTATTTGCTCTCGTTCTCCTCGTACTGTGGGTCGTACTGGAAGACGTCAATCTTTGACTGGGGATCAATCTCGTCATCGAGGGAGATGAGGTGGGTGATCTGGTCCGACTCTTCCACCAGATCAAGGCCCTCCGGCACAATCGGGTGGTCCTTGAAGCCGTCCTTCCGCACAGCAAACATCACCTCGATCATGTACTGCGTGCGCTTCGAAATCTGCACACATGCACGCAGATAAATGGGGAGTGGGAGGAGGTATGAGTCAACAGGCCGTTGTGGGGTCGTGATGGAATGGGCATAGAGAGTTGAGTCATGGTGAGGAGATAGACGATGCGAACACGAAGCAACACCTGGTCGAACACACAACACGACACGACACAACACACCACAACGCAGGCACACACAACACAACACAACAGAACACAGGAAACAAACATACCAACCAAACGACAAAACCAGCCAGACAAAACCAATCAGACGGACCTGCCCCTGGTGGAGGACGTCGCGAAGAGCATCAAAGGTGGAGTTGAGCCCGCGCGGGGCAACGTCGTTCAGGTACTGCCCAACCTCCTTCAGAAACGCAACAGCAACCTCGATGCTGCGCACATCGAGCATGGGGCGCGAACCGGTCAACTGGTAAGCAAATGGCCAAGACTAAACGTGCTCATTCACATGTGAAACAGCCTGCCACGTACGCATCCACAACCAACAACAGCGCGTCACCGTCGCCGTTATTACCACTGCCATCTCCATCGCCGCCATAATCAATCACGAGTGTGACAGCAGACCGCACCTGTCGTCGGTGGCGTGCTCCAGCAGCAGCGCAAGGATCTCAAGCGCAAGAATCTCGTGCGCAACCTGCAGCATGCACATGGCAGCAGCGCCAATGGTGATGGTGGTGATGGTGGTAATGATGGTGAGAACGCGACGGTAGAGCAGCAGTGTACGCAAACACGCAACCAACCACACGTGTATGCAATCACAAGCAGTCGCTTGAAACCACGCAGCAACACACGCTACCGCTCCACCCTTCTGCTTCCACAGCACCTGCTGGTTGATGAGGTGTGCAATGAAGCGTGCTGTGTTGAGGCAGGTGAGCTTGTCGTTGAGACGGTAGCGCTTGCGAAACTGCAGCACCAGACGCGACAGGATAAGTTTCCCGACAGACGGCAGCTTCGTGTTCACGACAGCAACGAGCCCCGCGTACACGTGCGTGAACGTGGGCGACGAGGCTTGCGCCTGAATGTGGAAGCCAGGAGATGAAATGTGACGCGTGGGAAAGAAAGAGAGAAGCGAGGGGTTGCGTTGGATGGATTGTGTGGATTGAAGTGAGCAAGGGGGAGAGGAAGCAAAGGTTATACTACTGCGCTGCACATATATGCACACGCATCCATGTACACGTATTCATGCACACACACATAAGTGTACACCCGCTCACACCCGCTCACACCGACCTTCATGCAGGATCGAGCAAAGAGGCCGCGACCGCGGACGAGATTGGCGCCAAAGAGATCAACGACAATCGACTGAATGTTCGACACGTTCACTTTGTTGATGAACCCATTGATCTGCTTTCGCAGCGTCTGCCACGCGAGGCCTGCGCAGTACAGCGCGAGGAAGAGGAAGAGTGTGTGAGCGCATGTGCGGGTGAGCGTGTGTGTAAATGTGTGCATGTATGCGTGTATGTGTATGTGTATGTGTATGTGTGCATGTGCGTGTTTGTGTGGTTGCGCAAAGCACACAAACCATAAATGCTACACGACGCACGGCACATACGTTGATACTCCTTGGAGCTCTTGTCTGTGATGTTCTGCTGCATTGCGCGCAGGCGGGCGGGCGGGATGTACGCGCCACCTGGACAGCACGGATGAAGGTCGAGACGAAGTGAGCCAGGGGAAGCCAAAGTACAAGGCAGCGGGAAGAAGACATATGGCTGCTCACGCAGGTGTGGCTGCTCACGCAGGTGTCGGCAAAACAAGCACTCCTGTACTCAACACTATCATGCGCACACATGGACACAAACCCAAACCCACACACGAACAACATCCCCACCCCCACCGCACCACACACACACACACACACACACACACACACACACACACACACACACACACACACACACACACACACACACCTGCGCGAGTCATGATTGGGTTGGGCTCTGTCTTTGTCTTGCCACGCTTGCGAGCAAGCTCCTGAGGGTCTGGCTCTGCGCGTTCCTTTGAGCCGCGGTGATGGCGGCGGTGGCGAGGCGACCGGCTGCGGCTGCGGCTGCGGCTGCGGCTGCTGCGCTTACTGCGGCGACGCTGGTGACGCCGCTTCTCATCCTTCTTTCCGCCATCGCTGTCACTGTCGCTCGAGGAGCTGCTGCTACCACTGCTGCTGCTGCTGCTGCTGCTGCCGCTTGAGCCAGAGCTGCCGGACCTGCGACCGCGCTCCTTCTTTGTGTGTCGGCGACGGCGTGCACGCTCCGGTGTTGGCGACTTGGCGGCTGCAGGAGCCGATGCCTCTGCGGGCGCCTCTGATGCTGGCTTTGCATCGCGGGAAGTGGAATCCTCACCCTCGGCACCAGTCGTGGTGGCTGTGGCCTCTGCTGGTTTCACGTCCTTTGGTGGACGATCTTCACTGACACGGCGTCTGGTGCGCTTGCCCTCATCGCCACTGCTGTTGCTGCTGCTGCTGCTGCCGGAAGAAGACGAGGAGGAGGAGGAAGAAGATGCAGAGCGCCTGCGACGACGCCTTTCCCTTGAGACAGAGACACAAAGACACACACACACACAGACACACACACACCACAACCACACAGCATTGAGCAGGACAGCAACAAGAAGCGTGAGCGCATCGCTCGAGATCAAGCACAGGCCACTGACGACACACCAATCCCAAAACACACACACCCCTTGCCACACGTTCCACTCTTCTGTTGGTGCGAGCCATCACACACCTTTCGTCGCCAGACATGGTGTATGACGATTCCTGTACGCGGAAACAGCGTGCGATCCAAGCAGCCTTCGCCCAATCCCGTCAACACAGAGCCAACCAGTGATGTATGTGCTAACGTGACCGAGACACACAGGTGAACGAACGCAGTTGCTGCCTCCCTTCTGTATCCACAACGTCTCTCTGCTTTTGCCTTCTTGTTCGCTGAAGCAGAAAATCGGGGAACGTGTGCGTGGTAAAGAATTGTCGTTGAAGATGTACGTAATTTTCTGTTGTTGGCTCTCAGGTGCGCTGCTTGCGATGCAAGAGAGACTGGTGCAACTGGTGCAAGTGGTGTGTGTGTGTGTGTGAACGTGTGTGTGTGTGTGTGTGTGTGTGTGTGTGTGTGTGTGAACGTGTGTGTGTGTGTGTGTGTGTGTGTGTGTGTGAACGTGTGTGTGTGTGTGTGTGTGTGTGTGTGTGTGTGTGTGTGTGTGTGTGTGAACGTGTGTGTGTGTGTGTGAACGTGTGTGTGTGTGTGTGAACGTGTGTGTGTGTGAACGTGTGTGAGCACATGTACGTGCAGGATATGTGCGCGATAGGCAACGTGTGAGCGCACAAATCACGCGTGCGCAGCTAGTGCGTGGCACTTGACAATACGTTGGCTGACAAGAGCAACAAAGCAGATGTAGACGTGTGCTGTGCCATCCAGCGCGGTCATGCACGCACGCTCACCGCCGGTTCTCCCGCTGCACTGTTATTTCAGGTGTTTTGTGGTCCGTGCTTGCCTTTCCCCGTCTCCAGTGTCATCTTTTTCCCCCGACAACATGAGCAAACTTGTTGAGCAACTCCTTGGCGTCGTCTTCGCCGAGCCAGAGGAGAAGGTGTGCCTGGGTGTGTCTGTGTCTGCGTGGGTCTGTGTGCGTGTCTCTGTGTGTGTCTGTGTCTGTGTGTCAGTCTGTGGTTTTTGTGTTCATGCTGAAGTCACTGAACACATGCGCCAACGTCACTGGTACAACTGGCTGCCGCCATTCCACCACACAAGCTCACACTGACACACACGCACACACACACACACACACACACACACACACACCAACACCAGGAGGATCCTCCAGCGGACGAGGGTGCCGAGGAGGAAGAGGACGAGGATGATGAGGATGAGGACGAGGAGGAGATTGAGGACCCACTTGTTGAGATCCGCAGCAAGTGCGAGGGCCACTGCCCACAGCTCAAGGCCGAGCTTGAGAAGTGTGCCGCCCGTGTCTCGTCCCGCAGCAACACCGAGGAGACGTGCACCCAGGAGCTCTTTGACTTTCTGCACTGCGTCGACCACTGCGTACGTTTCCCAAGACGCGGCAAACCAAGCGGGGGGTGGGGTTGGTGTGTGTGTGTGTATATGTGTGTGTGTGTGTGTGTGTGTGTGTGCGTGTGCGTGCGTGTGAAGACCATGTGTGCCTGTGTGTATCATATGTGTGTGCGTCTGTGTGTAACTGTCTGTCTGTGAAGACCATGTGTGTGTCTGTGTGGGTGGGTGTGACTGCACATAAGGAACAAATGCACAGCGCTGATGTCAGTGTTGCACGCTCCGTTCCTGTTCCTTTTCCTCACAACTCATCATCATCACCAACAAACACACACATACACACACACCTATACACGCCTGCGCATGCAGGTGTCGGAAGAGTTGTTCAAGCACCTGAAGTAGAGGGCTGGTGGCTGCTGCTGCCGCCGTCGCTTTGACTCTAGTTCGCACCAGAGCGCCATTCGTTCTCTGGCACATGCAAACCCACCCCCTCCCACCTCCTTTCCTTCTTCTCTCCAAGCACCCCCCCCCCCCCTTCACCCTTTAATCTCCTCCACGACACGATATGCATCCATCCTCCATGGCGCGTGCAGCCCTCTATCCGTCCCATCTGTGCATGTGTGTTCGTTCGTTCATGTATGTGTGTGTTTGGTGGTTGTGTGTCTTGCTTCTGTTGTGGAAGCGTTAACGTGTGTGAATCGAAGCTTGCGCGTGTATGTGTGTGTGTTTTTGTGTGAGATGTCGGTTTCCAACGTGTATTGTACGTGTGTGACTCCTGTGTGCTTCTGTGCATGTGTTCAAGCAAGTAATGAACGAGTAAACCCGCCGTTCACACGCTGTTCGCCAGATATCATCAACATGGCACAATTGCGCCTGCTTTTATTCACTCAAAAGCCAAGCAAACAACAAGCAAGACATGCACTTGCTCATTCGCACACACACACGCACACGCACACACACGCGCACGCACACACACGCACACACACACGACAACCAGACACAGGCGCCAACATTTTGCGCTTTGCCTCTCTCTGTTTCTGCTTCTCTGCTCGGCCATTCACAAGTGCACAGCCACGGTCGTGTGGCATCACACACCGTTGCTCGCGCATGGACACAAGTCGACAGAACATGCACAGGGCACACACCCACACGTCCGCACCAACGCCACTACACATCAAACACAACCAACACGCTAACAGATCGACACGTGCGCGCACGCACTCCCAACATGTTTGTTCCTCCGCCCGCTCCTGTGCTGATTCGTTTAGCGCCGGCCAAGCCCCCTGCCGCGACCACGACCGCCGCTCGGCGCACCGCCGCGACCAGCAGCCTTAGCGGCAGCTACAGCAGCAGACGAACGACAGTGTGTGTGCGTGTGTGTATGTGTGTATGTGTGTGTGCGTGTGTGCGTGTGTGTGTGTGTGAAGGAGTGGGCACGCTAAAGGGATCAGAAAGAGCAAACGTACGGCAACAAATGCAGGTACTGATAGTGTACAAGCATGCACATGCATGAGTGTACAGCTGTGCTTGTGGTTGATTCCGTTGAGGCTGCATACCTTTTGCCTTGAGGATGCCAGCCTTGCCAACACCGACAGCGGCGCCCTTTGCCCTCTTGAAGAATGGTGCGTTCTTCAGCATATCAGGAAGCACGAAGAACCTGGGCAGATGTGCGCGATGACGAGGGGTAAGATAAGGTAACAGCCACAACTTGGACCAACCACAACTCGCAGCCATGTCGAACACGCACACACGCACACACGCACACACGCACACATGCACACACGCACACACGCACACATGCACACACGCACACATGCACACACGCACAAACGCACACACTTTCCCTCTCCCCCCCCCTTGCTGCTCTATCGAGCAATGGAAAGTATGCAGGTTGCAACTCACTTGATTTTGCTGCCGCGAATGTACACGGTGTCGAGCTGTGTGACCTGGCCATCGCGGGCTGTGAAGGTGACGTCCCGCATTTGCGAGTTCATGTTGTCCTCAGCCTGACATTAAAACGGACCATAGAAGAGTTGAGCATCGCGCATCGTGAGTGTGTTGTGTGTGTGTGTGTGTGTGTGTGTGTGTGTGTGTGTGTGTGTGTGTGTGTGTGTGTGTGCAGCGGTGTGGCAGCATCACTGCGCTCAGAAGAGTCCAACGTGCACATGATGTCAGTGTTCACCACCATCGCCTGACCTCGATCAGCTTGCCGCGGTACATCTCGCCGTTCTTCAGCTCAATTGTGATGGTATGGCCCTCGGCCTCGTGCATCAACTTCACGGGTACGCTCACGCCAGACATGGTGCTGTCGTCTGTGTATGTGTGTGTGTGTGAAGGGTGCCTTGTGGAGAACTGTGTGGGTGCGTGGGTGGATGGGTGGATGCGTGTGCAGTGGCTGGCTGGCTGGGGTCGTTCGTTGTCGTCTGTCTCCGTCGTGCGCTCACAAATGGACAATTTGTTGACATCTTTATCTATATTTCGTCAATCGTTCGCTCAGATTTTTTATTCTGTCGCGGATGGCTGTGGACGCGGCGGATGATGTGAGTGTCTCGCATTGTCTTGTCTCGCTTCCTCTCTTGACCCTGTTCTCCCCCTCCCTCTCCCTCCCTCTCCCTCCCTCTCCCTCCCTCTCCCTCCCTCCCTCCTCTCTCTCTCTCTCTGTCCCTCTGTCACATCAAGCGAGCTACAGCTTCTTCTTCTTCGCAGCAGGTCGATCAAAGTCCTGCGTGTGTGTGTGTGTGCGTGTGTGTGTGTGTGTGTGCGTGTGCGTGTGTGCGCGCGTGTGTTTATGCGAGAGGTGAGCTCAGTGGGTGGCGTTCGAGGTAGCAGGGCAGAATAGAAGAAAAAAACGACGGATGGCCAAGCAGCGGTTGGTCAGTGAACACTTGCCTGCTTATGGCCACCCAGTTTTGCCATGGTCTTCTCAACCAACTTTTTATCCTGAAACCACGGCGCAGACCTGTGCAAGGCGGATGCACAACAAGTGAGGAGAGGTGGCAAGGGGTGAGGACAGAAATCAATTGGTGGCGTTTCCGCAGTCGTCCATGCAGGTGACATTGATCATGCCGGCTTGTGATATCACACTCACACACTCACTCAATCACACACACTCACGCACACACACACACACTCACTCACACACACACACACTCACACACTCTCTCACACACACACACGCACACACACACTCTCGCTCTCTCTCACACACACACACACATATGCACAGTACCTGTCTGTTGTGTCTTGGTCTGCAAGATGTGTGTATTTTGTGCGACCCATGCGTCCAAAGTTCTTAACCTGCAATGACGGAGAGGGCAGGTGGTGTGATGAGAGGAGAAGGGATCAATCATGACACCAATACACATGCACACACGTACACACGCACACGCGCACACACGTACACACGCACACGCGCACACATGCACGCGTACACACACACACACACACGCGCGCGCGCGCATACGCACAGACATGCGCGCATACGCAGACATACACGCATACACGCGTACCTGCATGACTTTTGGCAGTACGGTCTTGTCAAATTTGTCCTCGAGTGTCGGCGCAGTGACATCTCGCTTGAACAGCTGTTGTCGAGGCAGCGGTGGACAGCGGTGGGCAGTTCAAGAGGTTTCGGGGTCACAACAAGTGATGTGCGCAGGCAGGCATGCGTACGTGTACGTGAAACACACACGAACCACAACATACACAGGCACACTTGCCCAAAAAAAAACACACGCGAGCATACACATCAACCAAAACAAACACAGCAACTGAGCAAGCAAACAGACAACACACAAACACAACTGAATACACACACACACACACACACAGACATGAACACACACACATGCAGCTGCTGACCTCGCTGTCCTCGTCTTGGAAGAAAGCGCCCTTGTGGTAGTACTTCTGCATGAAGCCCATCTTGCCCTTGTCGGCCTTGTTTGTCACCAGCTTGGGGTTGGCCTTGAAATACTCTTCCCGCTCCTCCTCCGTCATCGCGTGCACCCGCTCAACCTCAAAGCCTGTGTGTGTGTGTGTGTGTGTGTGTGTGTGTGTGTGTGTGTGTGTGTGTGTGTGTGTGTGTGTGTGTGTGTGTGTGTGTGTGTGTGTGTGTGTGTCAGTGTGATGATTGTGAGCAATCCTCCGCAAATCTCACTGCTGTCAAGAAAACCACCACCACCAGCACGATTGCCTGCAGGCCGTTATTTTTTCACCGTTCGCGCTCCATGGCATCCCGTTCCTCGCGGTCACGCTTGATCCGCTTCAGCTCGCGCAGCTGCGGTCGTGATGGTGGTGGTGGTCGTCGTGGTGGTGGTGGTGCAACATGGTGAGATGAAGTTTGCGAGCACTAGAGTCAATGACTCGAGCTCTCGACCATACATCAATGAGCAAACAAGACCCCTTTCACGCACACACACACACACACACACACACACACACACACACACACACACACACACACACACACACACACACACACACACACAGGACACCGCCAGCGACTTGCCGACCTTCCAGTGCTCGAATTCCTCCTCCTTATTGGCCGTCTCGTCATCGTCATCAACAAAGTTGATCTGGCTCGCCTCAAGCTCCTCCTGCACCACCACGAGCAGCAGTAGCACCAGCAGTAGCACGGCAGATGGTGATGGGGTGAGATGGGTGCAGGACTTGAATGACATGGTGGGATGTCATTGATGAGGGCGGTGGGACACTAACACGGCAAGCGTGAACGACATTGTGGTCAACGCGTCAGCAAGAAGAAAAAAACAAAAACAAATGCGCAACCGCTATTCTTGTGAGCGAACCTGCATCTCCTGCTGGACGGTTGATTCGATGAAACCACGCAGCTCTTTCCGTTGCTCTGCACAGACGCGCGGGGTGTTGCAGCAGAGGGAGAGACCAATCATGAGCACGACTACCACGACCACAAAATATGGAAACGCACACGCACACACACACACACACACACACCACCACCACCACCTTCAAAACTGTGCAGGGCCACGCCATACCCTCTTGTTGTATTTGCAGGGCCTCCAGCCGCTCCTCCTCGCGAGCAAAGCGCTCCTCCTCCTCCAACTTGGTCAACCGCTTGTCCCTGCGCAGCGCAAGGGAACAAGGGGTGGTGTGGTGGTAAGGTTTGGTGAGGAATTGCATGGTGGTTGGGGGTGGTGCATGATGCCTCCTCATTCAGTCTCGCACACACGAGCACGCGCACACACAGGAGCACACACGCGCACGCGCACACATGAGCACGCGCACACACAGGAGCACACACACACACATGAGCACACACACACAGGAGCACACACACACACACACACACACACACACACCCATACACACACACGAGCACACACACACACACACACACAGCGCAGGACCAACGTACTTCTTGACGAAGACGGGTTTGAATATGGGCCGCGTGTCGTCTTCGCTCTCAGACTCTGTGTACGACTCGTACTCGCTGCTCTCCTCGTCACTCTCATCATCATCACCGCCACCGCCACTGCCTGCACGTGGTCGCCGTGCCTGTCGTTCGGTGTCCTCGTCCTCGTCGTCGCTGCTGCCAACGACCTCTGCTGTCGGTTTCATGCGCAGCCGTTGCACCGCCGGACGCGACGACGCAACCTGCCCACCACCACCATCATCGCCATTACCAACAGCAACAACAGCAGCAGCAGTAGTAGGCGTGCAAGAGTGAGCAGCATAGCAGAGATTTTAGGGGTGTTAAGGCTACATGTGCAGGTAAGTCGCACACGCACACACGCAAGCACGCACGCACACACGTACGCACACACACACACATATCTTCCAATCGACAGCAGCGCATCATGTGTATGTGCGCGTGGGTGTGGTTGACGAGTGTTTGTATGCATTGGTGGCGAGCGAGCACGCCAGCACGCCACGGCACGTCACACCACGCCACACCACGTCACACCATCTCAACGCGCGTCCTCACCTCCTCATCCAGCAAGTCTGTTTCTTCCTCCACCTCCTTTGCTCGCTCCCGTGCCCTTGCCAAAAGCCTGATAGACACAAACACACACAAACACGCACAAATGTACACAAGCACACACAAACACACAAATGCGCGCGCGCATGACCAATGTTGGCAGTGTGGGATCAAGCGGTGAGGAAATGCGATGAAGGGCGTGTGCATGCATGTGTGTCGTTGCACTCGGTACATACACGCGTGCATGCACGCAGCATTGCTGACATGTGGTTCCAACCGCAAATACTCACAGCAGCAACTCACACCAAGCATGACGAACGTCAACCACAGCCACAGCAAGAAGAGGCATCAGCATGTGTGTGCATATGGGTGACGTACCTTGCTCGCCGCGCTGCGATTGCATCCTCGTCCTCTGATTCTGACTCGCTCTCTTCCTCCACAACCTCCGCAACGGCCTGATGGGTTGGTTGGTGCATTGGTTGGTTGGTGATGTCGATTGTGTAGCGTAGCAAATGGGACAGCTGATGAGCAGCTGCAACAAGCGTAGGATGGGCGCTTTCACACACACACGCGCATGCACACACGCATGCACACACACACACGCATGCACACACACACACACATGCACACACACGCGCATGCGCACACCCCTACACGTACAGGGCGGCGGTGCTGCACCCCTTCCTGCCCCTCGTCATCACTCTCGGCCTAATCGTGGTCGTGGTCATGGTCGTGGTGGTGGCATATGAGGACAGACAGCCCAAGACAATACACCAACACGTGAGCATTCGAGCATAGTGGATGCGCACACAATCACACGCGCACATGCGCACACACGCGCACACGTACACATACGCAGACATGAAAACGCACACACACACCAACCTCGCGTTGCCTGAGTCTGGCCAGGCGGGCTGCTCTGTCGGTTGGCACGTGCGCCTGACGCAGCCGCTGCAACCGCCGGTCGTCAGACGTCTTCACCTGCTCAAGTGCGTGTGGGTGTGTTGGGGGGTGTGGGTGTGGGTGTGGGTGTGGGTGAGTGTTGTGCAATGAGGAATGCGTTAAGGGGGGGGGGTATGAAAATGGTCTGGCTTGGAAGTGAGCACGTGTAGCGCGTGTTGTTGCATCCACACAAGGTGCGTCAAAACACACAAGCAGGCAAACACGAGCAAACACGCATCACGTCCAACTTGCCTCGCGATCAAGGTCCATGGTAAGCGGCTGTGACGTGGTCTGCTTCTTCTTTGTGCGCCTGTCCGATACAAAGACTTCGTCGGAATCATACTCGTCCTGTCGTGGCATGACGTGGACACGCACACACGCACATACGCACACGCAGGAGCACATGAGATGAGACAAAGCACAATGTCCGCCATCAGTTGAAAGTGAATGCAAGCACTGCACGCAATCCTTCACCTACATCATCGTCGTCGCGCGCATAGCTCGGGCGCATGCCGGCCTTGTACCTTTGTACTTTGACCTTTTGCATCACAATCTGTATCCAAGGATGACCCGCAGGTGCGGAAATGAGAAGACGGTCACGCGCTCCCTTGGTTGCACAGTGCCCACGTAACAGCTCACATCCAATGCACACACATACACACCACACAGAGTATAACATAGCACACACACGCACGCAGCGTATACACAAACACACAACACATACGCAACACACATAGATACGCATGAACATGCACATCACGCGAACCTCGCCCTTTTCATTCTTGATGGGAATAGCGCCAGCAGTGGCGCTGACTTTGGACGACATTGCTACTTGTGCTTGCTCAAATGCTCGCAAAGCAACCTCCTCGCCAGTCGAACAATGAAACTGATGGACAGCAACGTGCGATGAGAGACAGTGCGACAACAGGGAGCTGGGTCAGTTGCCTTTCGTGGTCGTTTGCAGCCGCAGCTGGGTGGTTGGTCTTGCGGAATATTGACGATGTTATCCACTATTTTTCTACAATCACCACAGCCAACCAATCGCTGACACCACCACTGCTTGCCTGCTTTGCTTTGCTCGCTTGTCGTCGAATGTATCTCCGACGCGCTCTGCTTGCTACGCCCCGTCTTCTCGCGACAGCACCTCGCACACTGGCAACGATGAGCGGTAAAGACCTCTTCTTCTTGGACGACTTTGCACTTCGCCAATTCAACGATGACTCCTACACCGGTGGGTGTTGTCGGTACATGCGTGTGCATGTGTTGGTGTGTGTGTGTGTTTGCGCACATGTAGCTACCTGTGTGTGTGTGTGTGTGTTTGTTTGTGTGCATCTTGTGTGTTTGCGCACATCTGCGTGTCCACCTGTGTGTGTGTGTGTGTGTCTGTGTGTGTCTGTGTGTGCTTCTGTGTCTATTTGCGTCCATCTGTGCGTCTGTGTGTGCATTGGTGCACAATGTACCAAAGTCTCCAGTGCAACCTCTCACAAACACTTTCGCACCAATATGCGCAGGCACGCGGCTGAAGGGCTCGCCAGAGGAGTTTGCCAAGAAGGTGAACGAGCTGTGCACGTCCGAGGAGGACCTGAAGCCCGGATATGCCCCTTTCTGCAAGCACGTCTTCGTGCCAAACTTTGTGGGAGCTCTATGCCCAGTCATCGCGATCACACCGGAAGTGGAACCTCTCATCGTCACCGCATACAAGGCCCGCACCGAGAAGGCGAGCAGCACTTGCCTTTGCCCCTGCAGCGACTTGTTTACGTGCATGCACGCACGATCATTCGCTCGCATGCACAAACACTTGAGGTTGCGTTCTCTAATTACTCGCGCACGCCATCGCACTCCAACACACGCACACACGCACGTCTCTTCTGACAGGAGCTGCCGGTGCTGACGCGCTGGGTGCCTGCAGAGAAGTACGAGGCCAAGCCCGCCAAGATGCTCGACGTCATCCTCTACAGGTGGTCTATCTGCTGGTGTAGTTGTCTGTGTGTGCACGCGCGTGTGTGTGTGTGTGTATGTGATGTGTATGTGTATGTGCGTGTGTGTGTGTATGTGTGTGTGTGTGTGTCCAAAACCCTCACCCTTTCACCTTGTCTCTGCTTGCGTAATGTGTTGTTCGCTCCTCTCAAACCCCCCCCCCGCCGCCGCCTCTCCTGTCCCACCGTCCGGTTGTGCGTGCGTGCAGCCGAGAGCAGGTCATTGAGGAGCGCAAGGCCATGGGCATTGAGGGCGACGTCCCAGACTGCCCGTGGGGCATCATCAGCGTCAAGGCCCAGGTAGGGGTTGCAGTGGCGGCGGCAGCCGTGGTGTTGTGGAAGACAGGGTGTGGAGGGTAGGGTACACGCGCGCACAATTTGCTCCGTGTGTGTGTTACGCACACATACACACACGCGCACACATGTTTGCTCACGCGCACACACGCTCACACACACGCACGCACGCACACACACGCACGCACACACACACACGTATGCACACGCTCACACGCTCACACGCTCACACACGCTCACACACACACGTATACACACACACACACGTATGCACGTTTTCCTCTCACGCTTGTGTCACTTACATTGCGCGCCCCACCTCGAATACAGGATGAATCGTATGAAACGCCCATGCAGCCCATTACAATGTTGCGGAATGCACTTGGCAAAGAGGAAGGTGGATCCGGCGTTCCACTTGACAGGTGTGGTGCAATCATGTGATGAAGACAGGGACTGATTGTCGCGGCTGTGGTATTCAGCAGTGTTTGCTTGCTCCAACGTTTTCGACTCACACGCACGCGCGTGCGCTCATACACACTCACTCACTCACCCACTCACTCGCTCACTCACTCACTCACTCACTCACTCACTCACTCACTCACTCACTCACTCACTGACCTACTCTCTCGCTCACCCATGCGCAAACACACGCGTCTGCGCTCTGGTTTCCACACTTGCTTACGACGAGTGCAGGGAGAAGTACCTTGAGTCTGTCGCGTACTGGAGCAAGCATGTGCCGCTTGCATAAGACGTCCACCCACCGCTCCTTCTAATGACTTTGCACCAACATACCAGCTGTCAACGGGCCTTGAGTACGATCATCAAGACACAAAGACACAAAGACACAAAAATGAATCCTGTCATCATCCTCAGTGTGAAGAAGGACAGCAGAAATATCAGCAAGGGCTCAGAACTCGAATAGGAGAGTGCCCAACGCAGGGGTAACAAAGAGATGGGTGACAGACGAGGAGGCGCGTTTATGAGGACACGTGTGAGTCTACCGTGTTAGATGTGAGGCGACAAGAGGAGGACGAGCGAGACAAACAGTTTCAAGCGAACTCCCTTGAGCCCTTGGGCAGTCCACGGTGTTGCTGCCTCACGAAAGACTTTCGCAGTTTTCCTCTGGCCCCTGCAGGTCAAACCCAGGTCTTTTGTGATTTGTTGATTTGTGCTTTGATTTGGTTTTCAGAGCCAGAAGTTACACACCTCCAAACCTCACCAGCTCACCAGCGCGCACGAAGCCTTCAACACTAGGACACCGAGGAGGCAGCCGCAACAATGCAAGGGGAGCAACAAGACTGTGCCAGCAAGGAGAAGGAGAAGAGCGGCACGTTTGTTGCCTATGGCGAGTGGGGGAAAACCAGATGCACGTACCACCGGGCCATTTCAAAAACACACACGCTCACCTTCGACAAGGCCAACGAGACAGACACGGCCCTTGCTGCCTTCGACTACTGTGTGCGGCGGCCACCTGTCTTGGCACGCATTGTGCAGAGCGACCCCGGCAACGTCACCTGCACCCTGCAGACGTCCCCAGCCTTGCTGACGGTGACAGGTGTCACACGGGAGCAGGCGGCTGCGTTGGCAGAAGAGTACACCAGCGAGCTCATGGAGGCGTACTGCGATGCCGTGGCTTTAGGTCGAGGCTCCCTCGACTTCAACTTCTACATGCACCGCTTCTTTGATGACGAGGAAGAGCACGTTGGCGAGCTCGATGCACACGAGCACTCGGCTTCTTCACGCACCAGCGACAAGGACATCAACTCCAGCACATGCAGTGAGCACAGCACCGCAAGCGACAGCGACAATGGCAGCAGCAGAGGCAGCGAAGGCTGCAGTGGCAACGAAGGCTGCAGTGGCGGCGAGGTGAGCGACGCAGACAGCGGTGTTCACGGCTCAGCCTACGCACCCAGCAAGAGCAGCGCCAAGCATGCTGAGCACGCCGAGCACGTTGAGCAAGCGACACAAGCAGCTGCTCGAGCAGTCGAGACGCAGGTCATCCCTGTCGACATTGCGGGGATGCAGGGTGAGCTTAAGCTGAAGGACGACGACGAGAACTTTGCACTCGTCGCTGCTGCCATCCACCGCGGCCTGGAACGACTGCAGTTCACGAAGGACACGGCGTTTGCGGCTGTGGGCCCGAAGATGCCGCTCAAGCCGTCCGCAGACGCCCCAGCTTTGCTTCAGCAGGCCATGTGCGCACAGCTGTTGCGCTTGAGACAAGAGGTGGGGGAAGGCAGCGAGGATGGCAGAAACGAGGACGGCAACAAACACCAGCAGCACCAGCAGCACCAGCAGCAGCAGCAGCAGCAGCAACAGCAACAGCAGCAACAGCAGCAACAGCACCACCAGCAGCAACAGCACCACCAGCAGCAACAGCACCAGCAGCAGCACCAGCAGCAGCAGCAACAGCAGCAACAGCAGCAACAGCAGCAACAGCAGCAACAGCAGCAACAGCAGCAACAGAAACAACAGCAGCAACAGCAGCAACAGCAGCAACAGAAACAACAGCAGTTTGGCCTGAAGAAGGAAGACGACAAGGTAGACGAGGAAGACGCGGCAGGGTGCCACAAGAGCGCGGCGCGTGTGTTCATCATTGCGTCCACCGACCCAGCTGCACTAGAGGCTGCGCGTGAGGCTCTCAACCACGCCCTTGCAAACTTCCGCCTTGATGTGCCAGGTTATGCCGACCTTGCCGGTTCTTGGGACCAGATGCTACACAACTTCACGCATCACGCCGATACGCGGCAGAGTATTCTGGATACTCGGGGCATCAAGTTTTACCGCACATGTGCTGTTCCACCTGAGCTGCGACCTGCGCTTGATAACATTGAGATGGTGTGGCTGCAATCATATCAGCCGCCCACCTTGAAGCAATGGAAGTCCATGGTCAGCCTCCCAAACATCAAGATACTTGACCTCAACTCGCCGCAAAACACAGCAGAGCTGTTTGAGAAGGTGAAGGCGACGGGCGACGGGGAGCTGGTGCGCCGCTTCAAGGAGGTGACGGTCCTGTACGACCACACGGGCCTGAGCCCCGAGGAGGCACAGCGGCACCGATACCGGCAGCGACTCGCGTCTGCGTTTGACTTTTTCACCATGGTGTGTATGTGCGTTCTTGTATGTTCCTGCACAAGCGACTATGCTTGCGCTTCGCACCGCGTGTGTAGCCATTGCGATCTAGCTTCGCACAAGACGCATACTTCATCCTCACGCCCGTGTTCTCTGATGCTTTC